CCAGCCCACCCGGCGCAGGGGCCGCCCGTGCTCCTCAGAGCTCGCAGGCGCCAGGCTTTGCCTACAGCTCCGTGACTGCGTGCCCCGCCGATGCGTCCCTCAGCGCACAGAAGGGCGGCGACCGGTGCCTGCCGGCCCTGGAGCTGAAGCACGAAGGAAGCGGCAGCAGGGAGGCTCCTGCGCGGACGACGGCCTCCCCGCTCCCTTCGCTCGTGCTCCTCCGACTGCCCTCGTCCGGCCCGTCGGTGCTCGTCCCTGGGTTCCGCATACAGTGTATTGGCAGTTTTCCTGTCCTAATACGAGAATGAAGATGGACGAAGCCATTAGCCAGGTACGGGTTGCCAGCGACACGTCACGGTGGAGTCCGGGGCCTTCCCTGGGGAGGTGACCGAAGGAGGACGTGGGCTCGGTGCCCAGCCAGGGCCGGCCGGCACAGCGAGTGTAAAATCAGAGCTAAAACCGGCGTACAGCCAACAACGATTTACTCTACCAGAAGACAAATGCTAAGGGCTCCAAAGCGAGAGTAGGCTTCTAGACAAAAGTAGTATCTTCTCTTACAAAAAAAAAAAAAAAAGAAACCCAAACAGGTACACCTGTGCAAGGTCTTTTAGACTGGAAAACCTTTGTTGCTGTTTTCAATTATATTTGTGCTAAGAAGAAATACTATCGCTGCCTGCAAAGCTGTCTCTTTTCTTAGGCCACCTGGCTACAACAAAACTACAGCTAGAGGCTCCAGGGACACGGAGACACGAGACCTGGAAACCATTTAATATGCACAACATGTTGTAAAGACACTGACAACTTGACAAAATAATTCCGCACGGATGCCGTTACTGGCTGTGAATTCGCACATCACACTCCCCTTCCTCCCAAACCTGAGACAGACAGATGCGTTTTATATTTAGTATCAGAGCAGCACGGAACAGCCCTCCGCTTAGGATCGCTGACCAGTCTCTACTACCATAAATGGCCAAGGTACACCTAAGCCTTTTCATAGGATGATTAGTGAAAAAAAATGCTGTGCTACACTCTAGGACTGTTACAATAATGGCAAAATATTGATTCGAAAGCCAGCTACTTAAAAAATGAGACGTGCTTAAGCATTGCCTAAGACCTACGCAATTAGGCTTTAACAGCTTAGAGCACTCGTGTGTATGACAACAAACCATTTCTCCCACACCCGACTCCTTGGGTTAGAGTCAGAAACGGTTAATACATCTAGCTGAACGACAGATATACGCCCACAAATAAATCATACAGATGAACCGATAACTTATCTGTACCATGATATTATGTTCAAAGTTCATGACTGCTCTTAGGAAAACAAATCATCGACAAGTACACCTTAAACTGAGCTCTTTATTTAATGACCACTGTTAATGGCAAACATAGTAGCATTTGGTTCTCTGCTTTTACCGTTAAAAAAAAATTTCCTTTTTCTCAATAGAATTGGAGGTTGCAATTTTGATCCTACAAAATTATTATTTTTTTTTTTTAGGGTAAAAACAAGAGTAATTCCAGTTAAGTATAAATTTCACTTAAGACATAACATCAGTGTCCAGTTTTCACAGCCAGCAATATTATGAGATATATTGTACCTGGTTTTTCATGTGTAGGTGTGAATAAAAATTCTGCAAAAAAGTACTACATGAATACCAAGAAGTCAAAAGTATGCCTTCTAGTAAGGAAAGTAGGTTTCTTTTACTTTGACATCATCAACATGGGCGAAAAGTAGTCAGAACTCCTAAGCAGTATTTAATGCAGTTAGTATTTTTAGGATCCCACCTGTTTTCCAACTAAAAAGAAAATCATGAAATAAATGTAATAACTTTTCCATATAATTTAAGTGGAAATGTTAAATAAATTTAAGCAGAGAATGAAACTTTTAAAAATTGACTTTGATAAAACCAGTTCATGATGATCAAAGTACAATTTAGTAAGACTGAATTTGGCAGAGCAAACACTTAAAACTGACAAGTATTTTTAACTCAAAATGTCAATAAAAGCACAATACATTATTTCCTAAAAGCAAAAAGTTATGTTATCAGTATAAATACAAGTTTTTTGTAACTATTAAAACCTCTGTCTATAACAATATTTTGCTGTGAGTGTCCTGGTTTTGGCTGGGGTAGAGTTAATTTTCTTTCTAGTAGCTGGTATAGTGCTATGTTTTGGGTTCACTATGAGAAGAATGTTGATAACACACTGATGTTTTCAGTTGTTGCTAAGTAGCATTTATACCAAGTCAAGTACTTTTCAGCTTCTCATGCCCAGCCAGCAAGAAGGCTGGAGGGGCACAAAAAATTGGGAGGGGACACTGCCAGGGCAGCTGACCCAGACTGGCCAAAGGGGTATTCCATACCATGGAACATCATGTCCAGTATATAAACTGGGGAAGATCACTGCTCAGCAGCTAACTGGGCATTGGTCGGCGAGTGGTGAACAATTGCATTGTGCATCACTTGTTTTGTATATTCCAATTCTTTTATTAGTATTGTCATTTTATTATTGTTATTATTATCGTTATTAGTTTCTTCCTTCCTGTTCCATTAAACTGTTCTTATCTCAACCCACGAGTTTCACCTTTTTCCTTTCGATTCTTTCCCCCATCCCACTGGGGGGGGGGGAGTGAGTGAGCTGCATGGTGCTTAGTTGCTGGCTGGGGTTAAACCACGACAGCGAGAAACCTCGTCTCTGAAATACACACATACATTTCTGGAACTGCATTCCCTAATGGGTATAGCCACGGGGATAAATACGAAAGTAGAATAAACTTCTGCTACTAAGCTTGCAATAATGTCTCTGAAGACTGACATTAAAATATTTTTTCTATATTCTTATTTACCTTTTTTTACCAATGTTATTTACATTTGTTTTTTTCTTGTAATTCTATTGTGAAATCCCCATTTACTTATGAGACCAAGTAGAGAATCTGTAGAAATGATTGCTTATTAGGACCAGAAGAGGGAGCTCCAATTAATATTTTTATTTATTAAGTTGAAGCAGTATGTAGCAGTGTAGAATTTAAAGGTAAAGGTTATTTTAAAATATTCATTAACAGTTTTATATATTACACCTTTAAATTAAAGTAACAGATTAACCTCTCTGATTGGCATCTGTAGTAATGGCAGCATAGGTCAGAGTTAAGGTAAATGGCCTTTTTTAATCTTTGAATTTGGGCAACTGAGCCTTCCATTCCCTTCTCACTTGGATTCCAGCCATCTCCATCAGTCACTGTACAACCTGCATACAATCCCAAGAACTCTCTTTCCACACCTGATATCTGAACAAAAAAGCAAGTTGCCCTGCACCAAATGCCTTCAACCTCACCTCTTTTCCTCTGCCAATCAGGCACATAGAGGCATTCTCTCTGATGGGAATCAGAGCTTTGTAAGCTTCTGCCAACTCTTGCTCTAACATCTCAGTACACACATACCACCTGAAAAGACTTCAATCCCAGACATCTTCAAGTATTTTTAAGCACAAACTGACTTACACCTCTCTGTTTTCAAAGGAGACTAACAAAGTTAGCTGAGGCTCTGCTTTTGCCTCCTAAACTGCAGCCTCTGCCAGTTATTCTGTACCAAGTTCTTGCTGCGCTGCTTCGCAGATTTAAACCACCACACAAAGTTACCGAATTTTAAATTTTCCTGTCCCCCACCTTAAACACAACATATGCTGCCACAACTGTGAATATGCGCAAAGAATACAAAAGCACATCTCCCTTCTTGAGGAAGTCTGTGTGTTGGATTAGACATGATGAAAGAGTATCTGTTGGATAAATAAATTGATAATAAAACCATACAATTATTTGTTTACATGCAATAAATAGCATATCCATTTTGACTTAATGTTTTCAGAAGTTCAGTGTAATAGAATCATTGTTATGGACAGTATCAGACAGAGAAATCTGGGATAAAGTATACAAGCAGGATCCCTTCAAGTAGCTAGTAAGGATGTGTGGAAATGGGTTTACAGGCGTACAGAACTTCACATATAAAAAAATATTTATACTTTGGCAAGAACAGAGCCTAGAGAAGCGTGAGAGAAGGGTATGTTTGAATTTTATGTAAAGGCGATGAAACCAACAGAAAGAAAAAAAAAGATTTGAAGATTAAAATGTCAATATTAACAAAACGAATCCCACCAAGTAAAAATCCATGAACAAGATGAGTCCTAAGGACTCTACAAATAAAGTGCGTGCGTCACAGGACTGTAAGACATGTATTTTCTTTGCCCTACTACAACAAAATACTTAAATACATGGTTATTCTCTCAGATCTTAAGTAACAGTTCTGTAAATTTCTAAATATGATTTTCCATCCTCAAAGGAATATCTATGTAACAATTATGAAGATTACAAATGCATTGATTAAAGTACCAATTTTTATTACAACAAGATAATTAAAAATTAATTTCAGCAATAGAACAAAACAGCAGAATAAAGAAATGAAGAAATACAAGCATGCAGGTAGGGACAGTGAAAAATACTCTTCAATACAACGATTAACACTGTGCCATATAGTAAGTATTTATTAATCTCCTGGCTTCTTTGATGGCACTGGACTTTTTTCTTTCCGTTTAGCAGCCTTCTCCTTTTTCAGCTGTAACAAAGACAGACACCAACAGTGGTTCAAGAATTAATTTGCAAGTCGGCTAGCAATGCAGTATTAAATCTCTACATCCACTCACAAATTCACCAGAGTGATAGATGCGGTGGAGCGAGCTACAGATCATTATTAGCCCAACCTAGTATCGCTTACTTTTGCATCACAGGACAAAGGAGCATTTCCATAGCTCTGCAGCTCCTCTCCTATTCAAACCAGTGCTGCCTTTATCTCTGATAATGGCAATCTAGGTATTTATGTATCCCTCAAGTCCAAAGTGCCTCACAATGTTCATGGGTTTATGTTTATGTCAATGAAAGGTAAAGAAGTTTTATTACAGACGAGTAACATACACAGTTAGACTAACCAACATGCACAAAATCACATAGGAAGTTTGTTGCTGAGGTAGATGCTAAACCTCCATCTCACTGTCTCCTCACTGACCCACAAGGTCACATCTTCCTCTCGTAAGATTTTTTTACACAGTAGGCTCTTACAGCATGGTATGATTTACCAACACACATACATTTAACTCTGCCATTTTGAAGTAAGACTATTAATCCAAACAAATATATCTGTTGTTTTTAGAAGCAACGCTTGTTCTCAAGTATTGTTACATTAGTGAATGAAATTCTATTTAGAGCAATTACATAAAAGGGATGCATGGACTTTTGCATCTCATGTAACATAAGATAATCACGTTGCTATCAAAAATGCAAGGAAAAATAAAATAATATTTTTAACACGCTTTTTTTCCTCATAAAATAGTGTCAAAAGGAAGCAAAGCCCCAGTCTTGATTTGGATGTCTACAAATTAACTCACTGCTAAGCAATCCTGTTGTTGGTCTACATAGAAACTAATTTTAAAATATTCTTCCCTATTTGGAGGCTTGAAGTTTGTATCCTAAATTCCTACTACCTTTTGCAAAGAAAATAAAATCTTGCAGGGGGGAGGGAGGGGCAAGAAACGCAGCAATTTGGATTTGATAGTAACATATTTTCTCCCATAAACTGATACTGTATTTGTACCATCTTACCATATTTTGTGATGATTTCCAAAATAAAGAAAATTATTTAAAATTTCACAAAGCTAGAACAACTTTCTCATTAACTAACACCTTGTTGCAAGCAGCAAGCGTAACAGCAGTTAAGATTTTAAAAGTTAATTATGCAACATTGCCTTACAAAAGAATTCATGAACAGTCAAGACATACTCCCAGCTGAGATGGTGGAGCTAAGGAGCTAATGTGGGGAAAGAATAAGTATTTAAGCATCTAAATAACCTACACCACAGGGCATTTAAATTTAACATAGTCAGTGGGGTGGAGGAGGCACCTCTAAGGGGGTGATTCAGGTCATATAAGAAAGACACACCAGATTTAGCCCAACTACACAGATATTTGCAAGGAAAAGAACATCATAAAGTTTTATAAATGAGGTAGCAAACACATTTCTAAATGTCACAGGGAACCTTTCTGTAAGTCTGTTTTGTTGTGTCTTTTTGTCACATAGTAAAATATTTTGTTGTTCTGTAATGGAGAGTTACCTCAATAAAAATCTGTCCAGTTAAGACAAATACCATCATGACTAACCTCTGAAATCCTGCAATAGCTCATAATTGTATTTAAAGCTTTAAGAAGCTAGTGTTTTCTCAGGAAGAGAACAAATAATGTACTGCATTTATATGCCACTTAAATCATACATTTATCTTTTTTAGACATCCTCTTGTGAAAATATATTTGAATTAAGCAATAAATGTAGTAACTTGCCCGTTCTTGGTAACGTTTTTCAAAGTAAGCCATGTCATCATCTTCTGAATGCTTTCCATGAGAAACTTGCCTTGTGGCACTAGAACCACCTGAAAAAAAAAAAAACACCAAAACCAAACAACAAACAAACAAAGCCCAAAACTTTTTTCATTAATGATACTTGCTATTCCATTAGTTATGTTTTACATTTGGCAGAACACATTCAAAGTGAGAACTCGCCTTTATAGGCAAGTAACAAACCCCAGCAATTGGGACCAAAGATTAAGCCCTTTAGCGTAGGCTAGCAGCTCTTATAGTCTTGGAGGAGTTCAACAGTTATGTTAATTGCTAAATTCTTGTACTAAATAAGGGACATAAAATAAGCCTAACTGATTCCATGCAGAAAAGACTTTCTGGCAGAAGGCAGTTTCACAGGATTGTGCTGAATACATATGATCCATTCAGATATGATGAGCTTCTAGTAGGAATTAAAAATTAGAACAACTGATCCAATGAATAAGTGACACCATTAATAGGGAAGATACAAAATGCTAAAAAAAAATCATTAAAGTTAAAAAGCACATCATGAGCAAAATTAACAAGACAGTTACTCTAAGCACTTCAAGCACATGAATGGTGTAGTAACTTTTGACATAACAAGGCTTCAACACTCATTTAAATTTTTAACTTTGATTTTAGCCCTAAGCATCCTTCAATTCATCCATAAAACCAATTAATTTTATATTAAATACTTCTTGTAAAACAGTATTATCCTACTAATATAGCACCTGCTATCTGTGAGATGGTTTGAGCAGAACTAGAAGGTCCCTCAAATGCTTTTAGAAATGGATGATCCATGCTGGTAACAAGGGATTCTGCAAGTTCAGCAGGAGGAGTCCCTGTTATAAAATAAGTTGAATGAAAACAAAAATTAACTTCAGGAGATATATTAAGAACATACAAGACGGGGTCAAAATAAGGCTACAGATTCATATCTACTATACTCAGTGCAGACACCATAAACTCAAGTTAACAAAAGCATTACAAATGGCTTCAAAAGAAATGAAAGCTTTGTTTCTTTAATTACTACAGCTATGCTATAGCTCCTAAACTTCAGACAAATCTAGGAAACCAGATCAGAATTTAAAAAAGAAATAATGAGTACATGGCAATAATAAATAAAACAGTATTTCAGGACAAAATGTGTCCATTACTAAACGACACAAAATCACAGAGCAACAGAGGTATCAAGGCCAACTAACGTGCCTGTCAAAAATAAAGTTCTACAAATGACTCTTGGTTATTTTATGCTGAACAGCTATTAACCTTTGAGCTTGGGGAAAAAAAAAAAAAAGCTGTAACTGTATAACCAAGAAACATGTGGGCAGTATTAGGCTAAAGGAATAACATAAATATAACATGGAATTATTAAGAGAAAAACAGAAGTTACAGAGTCCTTTCTAAAAGATATGCTCCACTTCAGCCAGAAGCTACTGGGCTGAACACCATAATTGTTGATAAAGAGGTTTTTTATCAGTTCACTACAGGAAGTTGGACAAGATGGTCATAGTGGTCTCTTCACACCTAAGGACTGCTGGAAAAAAAAAAATCTGTCTTAAGTCTTACTCCTATTGATCCACTTTGCCTTCAAACTTTGAAAATCTATGTTGAATTACTACTTTTCAAAACTACTTAGAGAATTAAGTTTCATCTCAGGTCAGCTGCACTTACCTATTCCACTGTCATCAAGTCTCATGTAGCCTTCTGCTAGTGAACTAAAACCAGTCAGTCCTCCCATAGCAGCGTAAGGAACATCCTGCCCCACAGGCTTTCCTTGGGCTAAGCGCACTTGTTTAGTTTCCACGACTGTCTCATGAGCATATGTTGGCTGACCACATGCACAGGTAAAGCAACTATGAAAGCCCAAACACCTGGAACCTAATTAACAAATAAATAAGTGTAATGAGTGAAATTATAATGGAATTTATACTTTACTGCAGCCAAAATGGTGTTTTCCTAAACTGATCTCATCAAAAACTAGAGCTCCTTCACTACAAAAGCATCCAGCTATGCTTTCTATTTGGAAACACATACGTGATTTTAGGCAAAGCAATCAGCTATCTTTGCTAAAACCTTTTACAGCCTTTTCATCATGGTACGAAAATGCTGTATAGAACAGGAGAAAGGATGAAGGTGGGGATTAGATCATAGGGGTCATCCAGTCTCAGGGTCTCATTCAGTCAAGTTTTGAGTACCTCCGAGGATGGAGATTCCACCTCTCCGAACAGCCCAGACCAATGTTGGTCTTCTCCTGGAGCAGACATCTCTTTCCTAATATCTAACTGGATTTCCTATGTTGCAACTTGTGTCCATTTCCAATACTAACACCCTTCTCTATCCCTCCCTTGACAAAAAATAAAAAAGAGAAAAAATTCTGTCAGTGGGTAAAGAAAACAACCTGCCAGAATTTTGGCAGTATTATCTCCAAAGGTGTACAGCATGTGCCAATGTCGCACGGCCAGAAAACTTAGAATCTCAATTTATGACATAAATCACAATTTAAATGTCTCTTAAAACTAGCAAAATTATCTGGGTAGTAAACAGAGGCAGTGGCAACAGAAAAATAGGTTCTTCGTAAGAGTACCATTAGACTGACTTTCAGCGGTTTTTTAAGCTTACATAGCCACAGGATGTAACTGAAATAGTTATACAAATGACATGTGACATTCAGAAACACAGACTGAAGTGAAGTGATATATCTGCCTAAGCTACAGCTAAGACTGTCATCAAAGCCCTGCTGGAGCAATGATGTGAAGAAGAAATTGAGGAACTGATTTTGCAAGTATTTCATTATACAAATTATCCTGCTTCCAACTCACGTTAGAGTTCATTTTGCAGGGCACCAAGAAATAATTTTTTTAAGTCTTGTGTAGTATGTAGAAGGATCACATTCTTTGAAACGTTAAAGGATTTTTCATATAATTTTGGGCACTCCTCAATAACAGAGCTCTTACTCTGGATACAGAATAAAGTATATAAAATATATGAAGTGCTACAGCAATATTTTTTCAATTATAAAGAGTGTACATCTCCAATTTATCTATCACATTAGATTTATACAGCACCAGGCTAGACTAATACCAGTACATTAAAACAACAAAGTCCAAAATAGGAGCAAGTATTGGCACTTCTCTGTGTAACCTTTGAAGCCATCAGAAGTGTCAGGTATTTTTGAGAAACACTAGAAAAAGTGCATAAGGTAAATGATTATTAAGAAGACTGTGTTCTAAGGATTCAGTCTGAATCATCCAATTGCACATTTAAGACTTTCATATTACTTAGAGCAAATTCTTGAAAGACTATCATATAACTATTTCATGTTTTATTCTGTGAGATATGATTCTCATCCAGCAAAAGCTGTTTATGACTTTTCCTGTACAAATTACACAGACTTCATGAAAGAAATTTACTGACAGTACGGAACTCGTAACAAAAAAGCTTCAGCTTACTTAATTTGAGGTTTCAAACTAAAACATCTTTATGCATTATTTAGTTTTTATGGTTAATAATTCCTGCTGTTTCATTAAAATAACCTCAAACAACTGAACCACAAAGCTTCCTCTTAATGCCTTCTCAATCCTTTTGCTTGAAACTCCATTCCCATTTGCATTTCTGGACCCACAATCTGTATGCTCGGGAACTGCTTTGTTAGAGTGCTAACTCTTCGGGAACAGAGCACTACTTCTTATTGAGTTGAGAAAAGATATAAAAATACATTAACATTACATTCAACCAGGCAATAGAGGAACAGAGATCAACACTTCCCTCTCTCAAACTACCAAGTTCAAGTAGAAAAGTCATGTGCATGCAGCAGTGGAAATGACAAACTGCAAATGGGGTGCTTTCATACTGCCTAACTTTAGGCAGCTGTCTCCATATGCACCTAACCGAATCATTCAGAAACTTACTCTCCTTCACAGAACTTGGGGAACCTAAGGTTGTTGTTCTAAACCCTCCTGTGCAAAAGGCGATGTCTTCCTTCCCATTTCCCATCCTTCTGCAAGGACCAAAATACGCATCAGTGACAAGTGCAGCACGTACCTAATACTCTGGGCAGAATACAGATCCCTAACGTACTGTTCCTGTTAAGTTTCCTAGAAGAGAATGCTGCAAGACCATCAGCAACTTACAAGAGTTACATGAAAATCCAGGTGCTGCACTGTGCTGATCAGCAAAGTGTTTGCATCTACAACGGATGGGCTGTGTGCCATTTAGAGGGACATAGTGATAGGACTGGCACTGACAACGGCTCACTCTACAAGGCACACAAATAGGACGGTCTTTGGGAATCACCTCATAGTCCGTTTTGTGTTGCTTATACCTAAAACAGGCAAAAATAATAACTTTCATAACTTTGTTAGTATTAACAGAAAACTAACTGAAAGGCTTATTATTTATCTTACAAGTTCTGTTTTGAAATATCTTTAATTAATTACTGTTAATTGTTAATTTTCAATTAAATTCATAATATCAGGTGCTTTTACATCCATTCATTACATAAATATCACAGATCCTTACGTTTCATTTTGACAGCACTATCAGAATCAATCTAATCTACAATAACTCATGCCTTAAAGCTGAATTTATTGAAGACTACAAAATCATTTTGGTCTCAAAAAAATGTATTGAGATTTAGATTTAAGAACAGTTCTTATGATTTAAAACCTGATTTTCTCAACCCTTAGACCTTAAATTAACTTGCCTATACTGTACTGTAACGTATCTGAAAACATTTTACGTTTTCCTCATTTTAAAAAATACAACAGTGCAAAAAAAAGAAAAGATACCTACCGGTGAGTACAAAAGCACAGTGTCTCTGGTCCCACAAGCTTACAGTCCATGCCAGTTGGTGATCTCCAGCTCACATACAACCTGTTCTGTAACCGAATTGGTAATACTTTTCTTTTGTACTCCTCATATTCCTCAGGGGTAAAGAGCTTTCCTCCATCGTCATCACCTACAATTCTGTAAGCATGTCATAAAGAAAACCCATAAGAACATGGAAGACAATAAAAGTAGGCTTCTCGAGATTTTTTTTTCAAATAATATATACCAACACTTTTGCTGTAAATGCAAAATCTTATCTTTCATAATACTGTTCTAGTGATACACAATTAGCAGAATTATAGCTGATCTTTACAGAAATTTTGTGAATAATGCTCTTTTAAAAAATTTGCTCTGACAGACTGAAAACCAGCATTGTAGGAGAGAAGGAAAAAGTAAAGCCAACTACCCTTTTCATACGGCAGAAAAAGCAATGGGCATCAAGGGTTGTGTAACCAGCCAGCTCTGCCTCAGGCTTCTTGAATGACCTCTGGCAAGTCACTTCACCCATCTACACCTAAACTTACTGCAGACTTGTATCAGGTTATCAAATCTTAGCCTAGTCTGAGGAAGATTATTCAACTGCAAGCAGGTAACCGCACTGCCATCAAAGTAACAAACACCACATCCAAGCAGTCTTCTATTTCGCAAGAAGTCTATGCTAGTTTCTGCACATAATGTTGATCACGGCTGTATCCCACACCGCGGACAGGCCCATTTGTTTAAGCTATCACTACGTTCAAATTCAAGGTCACTGAAGAGTGGGAACTCTGGAGCAGCATCCAGATTCTACGTTTATGGAGACAACGGAAGACAGTAAGTAAAATCCGTAAAATACAATTTAGACTTAATTGCAGCACTTACCTATGCTGAAGGTTAGTTTATTAATGTCCGTAAATATTTCAGTTATTGTTACTGTTGTTAATAACAGTATTGTTCAGTTATTGTTTAGGGTGTGCTAAAACATACCGAATGAGAGATTCTTTGTCAAATACTCTGTGGATTTGTGCATTGCCGATAATGTACAGCACCAGAATAACGTGTCAACACATCGCTGTCATTTGCATGTCAATCCAGCTGGCACCCACTGAATCAGTGCATAACTACCTATGTAAGAAAGACCACCGCGCCTACATCTGGTGTTTTACTCAAGGTTTTCCTAGGCTAAATTAAGACCACATTTCAGCGTTAACGACCCAGTCCGTGTTTACTTTTGCTCAAGATCCATCCACTCTTCGAGAGGAGCGCTGATGAGATCAGCAAAGACACGTGGGAGTACGAGGGCAGGCGTCCATACGCTGCAAAACTTAATCCACGCCGCGCGAAAGCCCACGTCTCCTGAAGAGCGGAGCCGCTGGCAGACTGCCTACCCTCTCACACCACGCCGCACCGACGCGCGGCCGGGCAGGCTGGACGTCGGAAAGCGACGCGTTACTTCCCTTGCGGGCAGCCAGCGTGTACGTCGCGCCTTCACGCCGGCGAGGCGCGCAGGCCTGCCGGCCCTGAGGCCCGCCTCTTCACCGCAGCCGCTTCAGGGCAGGGAGATGCCCCTCCTCCGCGGAGAGCCGCTCTCGCTCTCGGGCACCTTCGCGGAGTCAGCCAGGGCACGTCCCGTTTCGCCGATAAATGGCGGGGGAAGGGTTGGGAGGGGACGTGGTGACGCAACGAAGCCGCCGCAGACCCCGAAGAGGCGGCCTCAGGACGGCGGGACCGCCCGGGCCGCGAGGACGTAGCTACCGCCTCAGGGGAAACCCCGGGCCGCGGGCAGG